TTTCTTTCAGCAAATGAAACAAGCAGTCATTTTAGAAAGCAAACTTTTGAAAACATTTAAAAATTTAGCACAGTAAAGCGTATGAACAATATTGCTCACTTTTTCTACTCGTAATATTTTTGCAGCTTGAAATTTTCTTATCATCTCCTTTTAATAGTTTCTCGACATTTTTCTGCATATCTTTTGAACACGCTTTAGAACAAATTTAAAATTTCTGAGAAGTTTGCACCTCACTTAAAATCATTGTAAAGAAAAGAAATGTTCTGGAAAATTTTTGAAACATGTTTATTTTATGCACTACCTCTTTCGTATTTTCGTATTGTTTTACATCGTTTGTTATGGAGTAAATTTGCATTCTTTTAATGAATTTTTTTCAACAACTTCGAGTTAAAAAAGGGAAGTCAACACATTTACTAATTCCTTCAACAATTTTGCAAATTTTTAAGAAGTGTCCACGACTGAATAAAAAATTAAACTTTAAAAACGGTAAACTTAAATTGAATTTATTTACAAAATACTTTTCACTTCCATTACTTAATTATTTGATTTTATGAGTCTTTGCCATTAAATTATCCATTTTTAAATGCATTCTATAATGACAAAAAAATAAAGGCAATTTTGTTTGAAATGGCCTTAGCAAAGATTCAGTGAGTAGCTGTAGTTAATGGAACTGATTGGCAGTCGAAGATCGTAACCTAAATTTTCTCCGTAATATTTTGTGCATAGAATTGTACAGTTAACTGGCAAATAGAATGCAATATTTAAAATATGAAATAGTGCACGACGCTATTATTCTTCAAATAAAATTTATTCAAATACAATTAAGTTTTATAAACTTTAAATGGATGACAATAGCTATTATGTATGCTAAAACTGCAATAGGCTAATTCTACCCACAATAATCACATGATTTACTTTTAGCATTAGTTGACTTTAAATAGTAAGATAGTAATGGTGTAATTAATTTGTTCATTGCAGTTTCATTTTTATTGGAAGAATAAGATGATAAACAACCAAAACAACCAAAATAATATGATAATCAAGAAAAATTTTATGAGCAATTTATGATTTCGTAGTCGAAAGCATGAATTTGCACTGTGCTTCTTGTGTGCATAAAGTAGTTAGCATGAGCAATTGTACTATCATTAATCTTTCGAAAAATTTCCGATAAAAATTTAATTAATTGTTCAAATCGAAACATATTTAAAACATGAAAATATACACTGAACGATGCGTAAAGCAGAAAAATAAATATTTAATTGCATTTATTATGTCTATTTTAGAGTTTAAAAAGAAAGTAAATATTTAACTAGATGGCCAGATTATTTTAAACTTCTGCCTCTCACTAATATCATTAAATTTTTCATAACGATTGCCATTCAGTACAATCAAGAAAATAAATCCCAAAAAGCTGAAAAAAAGAACATTCCTATGTTTAGAGAATAAACAATTTTTATGGTAAATAATTTATTCTGATGATATTAAAGGATGAAAATGTGGAAATGAAGCAGAAATTACTGCATTAAAAACTCTTTTCAAACAGCAATTTTATGATATTCTTCTAGCTGAAAGAGAACTGTTGTCTAGAAATCAAAGACTGAATTTAGTCAATAATTTAACGAATTACTCAATAAATCACTGAAAATAATTTACGATCTCAGTGAGAACTTTGCTTTTCATCCTAATGAATAATCATTCGAAGTCAAGCAAACAAACATATCTACGACATAGTTTTGGCTGAATTCGAGACTTCTATATTTTACCAAAAAAAGTAAGACTTGATCACAATCTACATACTAAATCAAGTAGAAATTGGAGAGTATAAACTAAAAACAAAGTCATTTCCTTGATTCACAGATAACAATTATAAGTCAATCATTTATACTTTTCAGAGTCTAGTGACAATGCTAATCTTAATAGCGATAGCTGTTAGAACCGAACTGAACTGGTGATATTGCCCCTTCTTTTGATCTCGACTTCATAAACTATGTAAATTGAGCAAAAATTTAAATTTCGTCCTGAAAAAATTTATTACATCGTGAACTTCGAGAAGATACTTACACAATCTACAAGTAAGCTATCGGTAAATAAAAAGTATACATAAAATGATTAATTTGTATCTTTAATAGGAGAACTAATAAAAGTGGTAAAAAAAGTGAAGATAAGGATTGGAAATGGCTTAATTTGGTAAGTTCTCGAATACATGCATAAAATTGCATATAACCAAGCTGCTCGGAAGAAATTTAAGTGAAATTTTTACAAGAAATTACGTTCTTGGACTAGATGAGCAAAAATCTTAATAATGATTTATTTAGGAAAAAAATATTAACGATAGTAAGACAAAACACTAATTATGACTTGATATTATAATCATTACTGGTATGGTATTAACCATTTCTAGTGATGCTTCACCACTTTATTCGATATGAATTGTTCAATGTTAATAGCAATACTGAAAGTCACTGATAATGTCATGATACCAATAGTGGTAGGAATACTTAGTGAAAGCATTCAAAAAAATTACATTCAGATTTTGGTAATGTAACAGGCGAATTTTAATTTTATGTACAACCCGATTAAGTAGAGAATATCTCGGTAAAGCATACAAAAAATAACGAAGAAAACAGTTGGTAATTTTTTTCTTTTTTTTTGAGATGGCTCAAAATGTCAAGATCTCGACTTTCCAGTTCAAATATCATAATAACTATGATTAGGGTAATTTTTAAAGAGAGAACCAGATTAAGCAAAAAATCGATAGACGAAACGAGAGGAAATAGAAGTCAAAATGCCCTGCTCAATCACTCCCAAATATGTCCAAAAATAAGCATTAAAATGCTATCCATCTGCCATCAATTCTTGAGAAGATTGAAGATTTTGCGATTTAAACGATTATTATTCGGAAGCGGACAGATGTTTAATACTATTCGCACACATTTTCATTTTTTGTCTCGAAGCACGATTATCTACGCTGTATTCCCAAGTGAGAACAAGCAACTAGAAGAAAACCTTACAACATTGACTTTTTCATTAATTATTCTCCAAGAAAAAACAAATTAAAAAGAGTCCAGCAAAGTTTATGCAAATAATTAATTTTTAAGTGCAAAGCATTTAAAAACGAAAAGTAGAAAAAGGCGATCAATGAATATAATTTTATAGCAAGTTGGCGAGTACTTCATTCTATTATTAATCTAATTATCACTGCAGTGGACTGAAAAATAAATAGGGATGATGATGATGAGATGAATCCTATTCTAGTCATCACCATTTCTGATTTCTCATTTTCCAAAAACAGTGAAAGAAAAAATGAAAAATGAATTATAACTTTTAAAACTGAAACAATGATAGCTTGGAAAATGATTTCGATGAAATCAAACCAAAACAAAAAATCTTCAACATTTTGAGGCTAACGCTACCAATAATAACTCTCTTTATTGAAATTCAGCAACACAATCAATCATATGTACAACAGAGAGCTGGTATTAAAAATTCTGAGAGAATACCCTAACTTCCCGTTATTTTTAGTATCTAATGGCAAAAATGTTTCAAAATTGAAATTACAGTAATTTATCGACATAATCGTATGCTCCACTGCTAAATCACAAAAGTATTTGAAAACTGAATCTACAAGAATGCTGCTATGGAAAACGAACTATCTAAACTTAGGTGTATTACTAGAAATGTATATCAAGTGTTGAATCGAAGCACAATAAAATACAATTCCAATACGCATTTCGCATAAAACTATGTATGCGTATATTTAAATAAAGCTGGAATTATATAAACATGTGTGCAGTATAGAACCATTTGGACTGAATCATCAAATGGTAGCAAATTCAACGGAACAATAAAATACATGCAGCCTGTTCAAATTTAACGCTTATTTGCATGCTGCACACCTGTCTGCAACGTCAGCAACGAAGCATGGTACTTTTGATGAAACAGAAGTTTTAAAACGTGTTCTTCTACATATATGAATAAGAATTTCAAGAAGTCGATATCAGTAAAAAATGTTAACTTCCTCTGAAAGTAACTAGAGCACAGAAAATGAGCAAAACACCATTGCACAGGTGTTAGGAGGAAAATGCTGAAAGTGTATATTTTTTGTAAATATAAAAGTAGCAACAGAATGCTGGCTTCCCCTCCTCTTTCTTTTCAGTTTAATGAATATTCAATAAGTGACATTCGTATCGCCTCTCCAAACGTTTTCGTTAGATGCGAAATTTTTTAGGCGGAATTTTTAATACAAATGCAATATCAACAAAATTCAAACACTTGCATTCTTGCGTTGTGCATTAATTTTTTGCTCCGATACTACCACTGTTCAGGTAGAACAAAAACTTCAAAAAATTCTTCAATTTCATTTTGCAGAAAAACTTATGTGTATTTCTTAACTCTTAAAAACCGCAGTTAGCAATGTTTTTCAGTTTCTTATAATGAGAATAAATTTAAAGCTTTCACAATAATCTCAACAACCACCATTTAGAAAAATGAATTTACTTTCATGAACATTACATCTGGATCTGACTACAGGAAAGCATTCACTATTTTATTTTCCGTAATTGAAGTTTAGTAAGAATATGAATTTATTACAAATATTTGTCAAAACGAACTGAAGATTATAGCAATGAATCAGAAATGCAGTACATTAAATTAAATTAATAATGAAAATTTTAAAAATGTTGGGACTTTGATGAGCTGTAACTGAATATTTGTTGATTTGTTGTATAAATAATGCTCTGCTCAAAATCTATCCTTAATTTTCTCTCTCTCTCAAAAAAGCAAAAAAAAAATTCAAACATGAAGGTAAAAATGAGAACGACAATATTATAAAGATTATTTTACTCCAATTTATTTCAAATACAGCAATCAACTTTTTACAGAGCATTTTTTAATAAAAACTGCAAAAATGCTGAACAAAAATCATTTAATCCGAAAATTAAATTGACCTCAACCATATAACTTTAAGTATTCGCTAAAGAAGTCATACAAATTACTTAAGCTTAGTTGATTAAAGATTGCCTGAAATGAGTATAAGTAGGTTTACAGATCACTGGTGCTGGACTGGATTCTGATGTTACGGAGTCACGTAAACGAACCTGAAGACTTCCCATTCCACTATCATTTTCCAAATTATCGGCAGATGGTGTGGATATCGATGGGTTGAGCAGATCATTATCAAGAATAATACGTGGACGTAAAATAATTTCCCTTCGTTGAGTACTACTATTGTCTCTGTTATCGCTTTTTGTAGTTGTTAATGCTTCACTAGATAACGACGAACATAATGCCTGAATATTTGTAAATTCAAATAGCATGAATTTATAAAAAGTGATTATTCATAATAATAAGCAAAATAAGACGGATTTAATAACTTTCTTGCTTCTAAAATAGAAGTGACGGAAGAAAAATGAACAAAGAACCATACACGTTTAGCAATGCTGTCTTCGAGATCTCGGTGGAAGGCAGTAGCATTGCGTGCGTTAGGAAACCTTGAATAATTCTTTTCTTCTAATTCTGTTTGGTGCAAAGCATTTCCATACACGTTATCCAGGCTCTTTTTGTTGTATCTGTAAACTAAAAATGAACTAACAGTGACAATATAATGACTGAAAAACAGAATTATGGCTCATACTCGCTAAGTTGGCAGTAAATCTTTTTAGCAGAGAATAATATAGCAAATAAAGTTCTTGCAACAGTCAAGATTTTTTTTTTGCGATGATTATATTAATTTTATTAGTTATTAATTATGTATACAACAATTATTAAGAAAGTGTCGAAAATACGAATTTTTTAACAACACTAATTAAACTTATACTAAAATAATCAAAATTTTCTCATTTATTCATCATCTGAAAAACATGATTTGCCAAAAAATTTAAAAATATGACCTGATCCATTCATCCCTTGCATCAAGTTCAAACATGTCGCGTTCCTTACGCTCTTTTTTACGACGAAAAAGCACAAAACGTGAGCGTAAATTATCTGATGTTGAATTCGTAATGCTCCGCTCGTTATAAAAGGATGGTGTCGAATGTAAAAATAGTTTTTCTCCATGTCGCTCTGATGAGCTTCTAAATATAATGTAAGCTACTATTTCTATCAGAAAAAACAGCAAATGTTTGAAATCCTTCATAAAAATAAGATATTTAGTTAGTTAGTGTACTCATCGCAACAATTTAAAACAGAAATTTGATTGTGGGGCATAAAATGAAATTAGTAAAAAGCTCTTCCTCTTGAATTTATTGGATATTCTTGCATAAAATATGATCCTATTTTGTCATAACGATAAAGTTAGATTAAGTAATAAATTAAATGAAATTAAAATTATTTAATTTTGTTAGTTTTCCCACTCATCTTTAAAAAGTCAATAAATAATGAACCGATCAAATTTCTGCTCAGATGAAATGAACTGTCTTGTGTATACATTGCAGGTATTTGTTGGGAGTGCTGTATCAGCTTTCAGTTTTAAATGCTGTTGTAAAGCTTCTAGCACACTTTCTGGTCGTCCACATTTGAATTCGTACGGTTGATCGTAGTCAATTTCAAATGCAAAGCAACTTTCCCCCATACCAAACCTGAAAATATAAATCAGATATCAGTTACTGCAAGTATGAAATCTATCTATGCAGTCATAGCAAGCAAAGTAAATTAAATGTTCACTCTTTTTATTTTCGACCATTTGAAAATTTTCAACTTTAAAATATCTTAAAAATCATTTGAAAATAAAAAAGTATAAAGTAATTTCAATAATATATTGATTATTTTTCGCCATTTTCGTATTAAACCAAAATACTTTTGATACGTGTAATTTTTTTGTAGTGTCTGATCTATTTGATTCAAAATTCTACAGTACAGGAGAAAGCTTTCGTTATTTTTAACTAAATAGATGAAACTGAGGTAAATGTTATTTACAAGAATGAGAAAAATGTTAAAAGAATAGTAAAAAAGAAAATTATATTAAAAAGAAGGAATACTTCCCTGACTTACCACGTGATTTGCGAATATGACCAAACTTCAATACAATTTATTCCATTTTTCAAAAAAATTGAATCCCCAAAACTAATTTCGTAGTTTCCCTCTGGGATTCGAATACGATGGCTATTTTTGTTAGTTTCCAATAACACCGGAATATGACTCACTATAACAACTTCTAATATCTGCTTAGCAATAATAATAAAAATTAGGTAAGTTAAGGCTGAACTACGTGAGAGAACCTTGTTATGAAAAAAATATTATAGTGAGGGATAATTTTTTTTCAAAGAAAAATGAATACTAACAGTCCCATGGAACATCGTACTCTTCATTAGAATTCGTTGATAATGACGAACAAGGATGTGTACCGATTGAAGCAAACTGAAATTTTTTAAAATACATCTCAAAAATTTCGTTCACAATTCATGATTCTTTAGAATAATGTCTTATAAATTTTATTACTTTATACTAAAAATCTTAAGAATTCGTTTAAAACATTTAAAAAACATACTTTGATTTAAATACTTTTATTAATCATTTTGAACATTCTTTGAAAAATTACAAATGATAATGAGATACATAAGCTAATTAAGTTAAATCAATCATGACGGGTGGTATTTTCATTTATCACTAAGAAATAACTTTCAAAACTTTATCACAATATATCTTTTAAACTTGCTGCTAAATAATTATACTCATGACATGGTTTAGTGGGGACCAGCAATAAACCTGATCAGGAAATGCAACTTTGCATAAAACGTAATGCCATTCTTCCACATTTTCTACAGCAATTAGTAACACAGGAGCATTTCTGGATTGTATTTGAATGATTCGATTGTCACCTAAATAGTCCGATATACCATCCTCATCTGTATATGTAACATAATATGAATCATAACAAGAACCACCATCACCGCTGTTAACAATGATTTCAGCCATTGCCTATCACTCTCTCAAAATATGACAAAATATTCATTCCTTTTCGGTCGTTAAAAATCCTACCTTTTCTTTCTTATCCACATTTAGTATAATTCTTCTTAATTTTGCAACTTATTATATTATTATGCATAGACTACTTTTTTCAGCAGATAGCTGGAAATTTTTTAAAGGAAATTTTTCACTACATTATTACGTTTGAATTTCAGATGCTGATAGTTGTTTCAGCATTGAATTAACGATTGTCCGTATAAACAAAGCATCGAAAAAAAGTGCCAAGGAAAAATTATCAAGAAAATAAATTCTCTGAAAGTTTTTGGAGAATATGAGAAGAAAAGATCTGAAAATAGATTACCTGCAAAAACTGCTCGTAAAAAAGTCAAAATTACATAAACAATCAAAGATCGTAATCTAATCAGATTTAACATCAATAAACCCTAGATCTATAGAATGTCTCACATTAACGATGCAAAACTAAGCAAATGAAAATGAAGAAAAAAAACATACTGTTAATAGTATTTCGAAAATTAACAATTCGAATTGCCACACATTCTCCTAGAAGGATATTTCTTGAAGGTGTTAAAGCTGCGAGTTGAGAATCAGAAGAGTAAAGTTCAAGACGTGCTCGGCCGGTGATATTCTCCTCAAATATGGCACCTTTGAATCGTTTCCATTTCTATGCAATAAAGCAGCGAAATTAGTTAATGCATGTAAGTAGTTTAAAATCAATGGAAGTCATTATGAGCACAAAAAAATTCACACAAATAATAAAGAGTGAGTTTTTTTTTTTCAAATTTTAACAGACGACAAAGCACGTGTTATTCAAACTTATAAAATCACAAATAAATAATATCGTTGATAATTATATGATGAAACACGTGATTTTTGTAGCACAGAATGTAAAGTATTTTCGCTTTCAATATTGCATGCATCTCGCAGTACTTTCTCGATCTGGCATTTGTTTTGTTTTTCTGGGTTCAATTTTTTTTGTTTGGTAAGATTTGTATATTTTTTGATTCATTCCTGTTTGAATCAAACAAAACTGAACCAATTGCATTATCACTATTTTCTGTATTTCTAGTTTATTTGCGACTTGACTCGGATAGTGTAAATTTTGCACTGGAGATGACATAATAAAACTTTAACGAACAATTTAGAATCTTGACTTTTTCTCTTCTTTTGCTGTATGCACCCTTTAGCTGATTTTCTTCTCTACTTTTTGTAATAAGGACTACTGCATACATTATTCAAAGTTGTAGAAATGTCCGCCATTGCAGAAAATCAACGCAAAATCATCTAATTTGAGCTAATTTTTTCCTTCGATAAATCTTTGTCCATCATTTGTTAAATAATATCATTTGCACGGTGATTATGACCAGAACAAAAAAAAGTCAAAAAAAGCACATTAAATTGTACATTACACATACGAAAACCGAGAGGTTAAAAAAAAGACATTATTAAAAGCTATAAATGAAACTTATTTACTTAAAAAAATTTTTATTCCATTTCTATGTTGTCCTGAAATATTACCAGCACAGGATTTTAGTCAAGACAGTGGAATCGAATAAAAAATTTTACAATTTGCTGGTAATTATAGACACGTCGCAAATTTTAGACACGTTTAAAAAAACTTCTTTGATGAAGTTTATAACTTACTGAAAAAAATCGCCCCTGAAATACATGCACTATACCACTGTAGACTGGTTCCATCGTCTTTGAATCCTGAAGTAAGAATACATTGAGAGTCAGTGACTCACTTCAACTACTCAAAGAAAGCAGATGAAAGTAAAAACGAAGCAACTTGCAAAACAGAATACGGTTTTAATGAAACATTATTGTTCTAAATATCACAAAAAAAGAGAAAATATTACTGATGCCCTCAATTATTCCGTTTTACTTTTGAACTAATAATTGATCAAGTAACAGAAATGATTATTTTCAAGTTTTAAGTAAGCATTTTGTAAAATTAATTCAAAGTAAGTTGTTAGCTTTAATTTCTAATAGGTATGGATTTTAAC